GGTAGTACAAAATCCCATTTGGGCATTATTAAGAGTTGACTTTTTGCCCAACACTTATGGCTACTATTTCATTCTTTCTCTCCAAGAAAACCAAACAACAAAACACTCCCTCACTCCAGCCAAAGGAAAGAAAAAGGAAGGTAGAAAGTTCCACAAAACCTTGCTCAATCTTGCACCATTTAACTTCTAAATCTTCACCTAACTCCTAAACACTTTGGAGATTAGTTTCATCTTAGAGAAAGGCATCATCTTGAGGACTTTTCTTGGAGAGTTTTGGCTAAAAATTTCTGGTTTCATCTAGGGTTTCATCTTGAGTTTTGAAGGTATAAACATCTCCACCAAAGCTTTTGCTTTCTTGTTTCATTTCTTGGTTTTGAAGCTTGTAGCTTCCTTCTTGTTATTGTTGGTTAGATTTGGTTGGTTGAAATGGGCTTTATGAACTCCCACCTTGGTTAAATGAGAGCTGCCATGATGTTTATGTGTGTGTTAGAGTGTTTGTGATGAGTTTTACTAGAAGAGGAAAAAGAAAGAGAGAAAATCGTGAGAGGAAGTAAGCTGGCCGAATCTGTCCTGTTGTTATCTTGATTGTATTTCGAAATTTTGTTAGTTGTTTGACTGTGAAACTGATGTAAATATGTGGTATATTGTATGTGCAAAATGCCTTCCGAAAATCATGTCATTTGGTTGATCAAAACTAGAATTTTCGAAATTGCAAGAAATCTGGAAATGGTCATCCGATGGTCTAAATAGTGTATCTTTGATTGAACATAACTCTTTGTACAAAAGTCAAAATTGAGTGTCATTTGCAACATTTGAAACTAGACATTCTTAGATTAAAAGCGGTATAAAAATCACTGTCTAGTTTGTTTTATGTGAACTGCGGTGAACTGATAAAGTTGGCTGTTCTGTTCAGCCTGTTCATTCGAATGGAAATGAAAAGCTGTAACTTGTGGTTTGAATTTGAACTATTTGTGAACTAATTTTGGAAATGATTTCGTCTGATAAAATGTAGCTTTCAGAACCTAGTTTTCAACGCCACCAACTATTCTTTATTTGAGTTTGTATAGAATAAGATATGGCCTGATTTTTAAATTGCAGCAAAATTGGAAACTAGAAAGTTTCTTCCCTCTTACTGGCCGAATGGTCAAACTTATTTTTTAATGTTTTGTTTCAAAAACTTTGATGTCAATTACTCCTAAATTACTCATTAGATGTTTATGGAACTTTAGTTTCAACATTTGAGCTAATTGAGGTTGATTGTCTGGGACAAAACGTTTGAAAAGAAAGAGAACCACGGACAGCAGATTTGCTTTAAAATTTTCCTGAATTTTGACTATTTTGTTAACTGTCTTCCCACGTGAGTTTTTGCATGAAATTTAGTAGAGATATAGTTCACATATGGAAGATTTAGTCTACCAAATTTGATGTATTTTCAATGTCATTTTGATGGCTAAATGATACTTCAAAGATAGCTTTTTAAATCTAGAAAATGACTGAACAGTTTGCAAAATGTGATCAACTTTGAACTGATGTATCTTGATACTCGAAACTCCGAATTTAGTTCCATTTATTGTGTTTGAAACCTTGTTTAGAAATCTTATTGTATTATGAATTTCAAAGACTGATTCACTTTCTGTGAATTATACCGAATTTCCAAAGTTTGCTGAAAAACCAAGACTGGTTCAAACCTGTCTTCTTGGAACTGAAATTTTGAGCTGAATTATGAATGCTTTCTAGTTGGAATCATGGAAAAGTGTCTTCTGAAAACTTTTAGTACTCTGAATTTAGTTCCAACGGTATAACGTTTTTCATTTTTGGACTTACGAAAATCGAGATACGATTTTTCAAAATAATGTCACTCTAAATTGGAAAGCGGGAATACTACTAGACCTGGGCTGAATACCTAAGTGCATTGTAATTGTACATGTCTCAGGTGATCAAAAGGATCCCGAAGAACTCGTTTGATCTTGTCTCGCTCTTGTTTTACACTCTTAATTTCAGTGAGTGTTCTTTTTATGTTTAAGTGTTAAGTGCTACTTATAATTGCTTTTAGGGATAATTTCAGAAACCTCCCCTGAGATTTCTGGCACTTTCACTGACATCCCCTGAGGTTCTCAAAATTTCACTTACCTCCCTTGCTTTTGATTTTGTGGTAACAATCCAGTCCAAATCAGATTAAAATATTATTTTCATGTGTGAGAAGGTATTTTTATTCCATAGCTACCCATTGCAGAAGTTGTATTAGTAGAAGATTCAAAGAAAAATAAATGATTTGGACTGATTAGTAAAGTTGAGGGGGGGTAAGTGCAATACAAAAAATTGCATGACCTAGATGTGCCATGCAACAGTTATTTGGCAGATTTTGCAACGGCCAGAAGGTTTGCTGTTTCAGTAGCAATAGCATATAAAGCAAAGCAACTTAACTACCTCTGAGGTTTCAAGCTATTATCATTCTTTGCTGTTGATTTGGAGTGATAACAAGTGCATTTGCTGTGCTACAATTAAATCTCTGAGTTAAAAGTTTTAGCTGCAACCATGGCCTCTCCAAGCCATAGGGGAGAATCATGGAATTCACCTACATCTTTCTCCATTAAAAACAGGTTTTGCCGCTGTAATAGCAAAGCAACCGTAATGATATCAGAGAGTGAAAGGAATGCAGACAAGTTGTATTTCTATTGTGCAAAGTGTAGATACTTTCAATGGTATAGCGGTGAAGAAAAAGAAGTAAATAGTGGAAGAAACAACCTCAATGCAGAAAGAGGACAAGTTAATGCTAGAAATGGAGAAGGCATTCCAGTTAGGCAAGTTACGGGGCCAATGCAATAGCCAAAGCAACTTCTGAGTCCAGGACCCTTAGCTTATGCACTGATCATCATAAACCTCACCCTATTAGCTATATTTATTTTCATTCAAATTGTAAAATCAGTTCGATGAACTCATGTTGTTGTGCTGCAATACTGTACCAAGTAATATGATGCCTTTTCTGGTGATAGGAGATTCATACCAGAAGGCTAAGTTACTTGGAATTCTTTGAGCACCAATGTGAAACTGTGTATGCAGCTTTTTAGACTTCAGAGTGAAGCAATGAATAGCTACATTATTTCACTTTTTGTCATCCGCTATGCCAAGTTTGCAAACAATTTATATTGAAAATTAAACAAAAAAGGCAGATTAAAGATCAAAGCAGGACATTACATTAGCTAAAATTCCAGTTGTGACGTTAGTTATACAATATGCATGGGTAGCAGTCACTGCAATCCAACAGTACAAAACACCATCTGCATCAAAACACTATATGCAGATGGTGAGGATTGCAATACCCTTGAGGTTCATGACAGTTCACTGTAAGCACGCATTAACAAAAGCCTGAACAAAAGAGATTGAAGTAGACATAACTAACAACTGGAATTCACCACCATCTTATCAAAACAGCATGCTGAAACTACTACTACTACTGATGCTTTTGGTGTGCTGATTTGTAGATGCATTTATGCTAACAGATGTAGCATTTTGAGATGTAGTGGTAGGTGGAACTGGAACTGGATTAGTTAGAGCAGAGTTGAAATTTTTTGTTCTACCACCAACTCTTGTTGCAGAAGTTGCAGGATTGTGTCCAAAACGCCTTCCTCTTTGTTACATTCGAGATATAAACTACATCATAAATAGGAAACAGCAGCTACCAATTATGTTAATTAACAGAAATTTGGGATAGCAGATTAGCAGATTACCTTTCTATTAGTATGAGTAGTTGCAGTAGTTTGCACATTCACTTGAATATGTGCTGCATCATTTTGACTTGGAGGGCTTGGATTGCTCCCTTGACTGGAGTGCACAACAGGATAAGCACCATGTGCATGATCCTAAAGCATGAGATGTAAGCTGCAATGAGACAGGTTGTAGATAAACTACTCAGGTGACTTCTGAATGATTATGATAATTGTACTTTACCCAGAGAACTGCTCCTAAGAGGCCTGTATTAGCCATTCCTCTACCAGGTCTAGCTCTTCTAATTGCCATCTGTGATACCAAATTGAATATACCTATAAGTAATAGTTAGGAGACATGGATAATATCATATTTTGGGCAATGTATACCTTTTCAGTAGGAGTCAATTTGCTAGAGCTTTTCTGCACAGGTGCTCCTTTGCAAGTCCTTTTATTGTGACCAAAGGCTTCACAATTTCCACATTTAAGAGTGCTTGACCTCTTTGCCTGTGCTGTGCAAGCAGTTTCATCAGATTCCCTTCTTCTATTTACTCTTGGTCTCCCAGGAGCTCTTCTCAGAGGTGGTGGCAAGACAGTTGTTGGTAGCACTTCAGGCATAGGAGGCCATCTCTTGACATCAGGAATGGGATGAATCATGTGCGAGTATGTTTTTAAATACATGTCTTTGGTGAACCAAACTTCACAGTAGTTCTCTAGTTTTTCTCTTCTATACATAACTCCTAATGCTGCATGCTTACATGGAATTCCAGAAATTTGAAAAGCACCACAGTCACAGATTCTTTGCCTTAGGTTGACTACATAGGTCCTGTCCATATCACCAACCTCAAACGTATCCTCACTAACCATATGCATCTCACATTTTCTTGATGCTTGGCCAATTTCTTTCAGTTTCTGAACAATTCTGGGAGTAATGTGACCAGTCAAGGTGCAGCCTTTCTGGTATCTTTTGTGCATTTTTTTCATGAACTTTCTTCTTAAGCCATCAACCAAAGTCAGTATTGGTTTTTCTTTTAATTTACCAATCCAAGCATTAAAAGACTCAGTAAAGTTATTTGTGACATGATCACATTTCAACTCAGTTGAGAATACATGTCTACACCAGGTAGTTCTTGGAATTTTATCCAAATATTTTCAAGCATTTATGTTAATGTCTTTAATGCTAGCCATTGCTTCATTATGTCCTACTGCATCATAGCTTTTCGCTGCCTTCCAAAAGAAACTGCTAAGTAAGATACCTGGAAATTGACTCTTAAAGTTGCTGCATATATGCCTGCATCAATGCCTTCCAACTGCCTCAGGAATCATCTCCTCATATGCAAGATTCAATCCCTGTAACGATAACAAAATGACTCAGCAACCATTTTCAGATTAAACATGAAAAGTTATGGACAGAAATTTTACCTTTTGCCTATCACTCATGAATGTTAAAGGTTTGTTGTGATCAAATGGTCCAAAAAACTCAGAAAAATAGTAGAAGAACCATCTCCAAGTATCCTTGCTCTCACATTCAGTTACAGCAAAGGCTAAAGGAAATATGCTGTTATTTGCATCCAAAGCAACTGCCGTGAACAATACACCACCAAATGGACCCTTCAAGAAACAGCCATCAAACCCCACAAAAGGCCTGCAACCTTTCAGAAATCCTAACTTTTGTGCTCTAAAACTGACAAAGATTCTTAGGAAGGCAGGCTCAACTAAGATATTTGGCTTATCATAATGTATTTTGCATATGCTACTGGGATTATACTTTCTTAGCAGCTCAGCATATGTTGGCAATTTTGTATATGATTCAGCATTTGTGCCTTCTATTTCAGCTAGTGCTTTGTTTTTAGCTCTAAAAATTTGCATTTTACTAGGCCTCACACCATACTTCCTTAGCTCTGCCTCTACCCCTTTACTAGTCATATTAGGATGATCCCTCATAACAGGAACCAACTTCTTGGCCATCCAGTCAGATGTGGCCTCAGCACATTGTTTATCCATAACACACGTATGTTCTTGCTGATAGCTTTTAACCTGAAAAGTGATTGAATCAGCCACTGGTGAAGCATGAATTCTCCATTGACATCCCTCAACACCACAGACAGCAGTGACTCGACTCTTCTCATTCTTTAATCTCAAAATAGGAAAGCCTTTTTGAATGACATAGTCTTTCAATGCAGCTCTGAAGGCATCTACATTGGTGAATAACTGATCCTTTTGAAACTCTATCACATCTTTACTGTTGTAAATCCACATTTTTTGTCTCATTACTTCTCTCATAGGATCATTTTCTTCCTCAGATTCAGAATCAGGAACCACAATAAGAGCCTCATTTTCCTCAAAATCAGAAAAATTAGAGTCACTGTCCTCACTATATGCATCTATTGCCCCCCATCAACTACTTCCTCATTAGTGTCACTATGTAGGTTGTGTTTCCATGAAGAATCAGAGCTAGAGTCACCATAATTATCATCCGACTGTCCAATGTCTACAACTACTGCCTTGCTAGGAATGTGTTCAATGCCTAAATTATCTTCTTTGTTCATTTCTCTCACATTAACTGAGGTATTCTCTTCACCAACTAGAATAATTTCCATATCAGACACATGCAAGTTAATTACTAATTTAGATTTATGTATTTTGAACATCTCAGCAACTGCATCATCATCATTAACATCCATCATGCAGTTTTTTTCAGGAACTTCACATCTCATCTGCATTAGCATATTAACATTGCCAGGCATTTTACTCAATGCCTTCTCAGTTACATCAAATAGCAAGGAGATGTACGTATAGCCAGTTGGATCCACATTTGGTATCCTGATTTTGTTCCCATTCCAGTGAACCATAATGTCATAGGCAACAGCAAGATTCCCCATCCTACAATCTCAGCATTCAAATATGATGATGATCACAACCAAAGCTAGTTTGAGAAAACATCATCTAGAAACTAGAAATATTGGTTATATAAGTCAGTAGCATGCTACTCAACTTTCATTAACATAAGAATAAATATGATCAGCTTGGCTTCACAGCATACATGTAGCACAAGAGTTCATGGTAGTCTCACACATAATATGCAATGGTTTAAGTTAAGACATAATGATTAACTCAAAAATCCACTTAACAACCAAATTGAATGTTCAATATCAACATTTAGACAAAAGACAGAGGTGGAATTGAGCAACACTAGTAAAGGTGTCATGTAGCTTTTCGCAGCACCAGTAAAGGAAAGTTAAATGAACAAATAAATTTGTACCTTTCTTGTTGTGTTTGCAACTATTTCAAAATAACAATTAATTCCTCACTTTGTTGCTGCTACTCCAATGCATATTAGGACCACTGGTTTGATCACAATTTCCTTTCCATTTTTGTTCTTGTTATTTCCTCTGTTTCTTTTCCTATATCCAGAATGTCGTATAAGACCACATATAAGTGATCTTATATGTGATCTTGTTATTTCCTCTTGTCAAATCACAGCAGGCACAAAAAATGGCGCCAATATTACAGCTCAATTGGCGCCTTACTCCCAAAACGACTGGATTAATTCATGTATCAGGAATCAAGTTTCTATTATTGTTGTTAAGCTTAATTAATCACATCAGATGCCATTATGTAACTAAACGGTAGTAATTAACCCCAACCACTTGGGATATATTTGTAATTTTGGCCTTGATGACGTCAGAAAAGGGGCCCAATTTTTTATCAAGGGAGGTAAGTGAAATTTTGAGAACCTTAAGTGATGTCAGTGAAAGTGTCAGAAACCTCAGGGGAGGTTTCTAAAATTATCCCTTGCTTTTATGAAATTTCCACCGTTTTAAGGCGAGTGTGTACTTTATCTCACTCGACCTAGTAAAATGACAAATTTCTACCATTTAATCGTGAATTTCTACCGTTTACCGGTTTATTTGATTATTTGCGCATGTTGTAAATATATCCATCTTCCTCGATTTTTGTGCCAAAACTTAGAAATTTGTTTAATTTTCAACTTGGAGAATCTTGGACATGACTTGATTTGGATTAATGTATTCTTGAGTATTTTCAAATGCTACGCTCGTGGATTAAATTATTAAGTGATATTTGCATTCAATTTGAACGGGTTATCTCTTAAGTGAGAGTAGCGGGAATACTACTAGATCTTGGCTGAATACCTAGGTGAATTGTAATTGTACATGTTTCAGGTGATCAAAAGGATCCCGAGGAACTCATTTGATCTTGTCTCGCTCTTGTTTTACACTCTTGATTTCATTAAGTGTTCCTTCTATGTTTAAGTGTTAAGTGCTACTTATAATTGCTTCTATGAAATTTCCACCGTTTTAAGGCGAGTGTGTACTTTATCTCATTCGATCTACTAAAATGACAAATTTCTACTATTTAATCATGAATTTCTACCGTTTATCTTTTTATTTGATTATTTGCGCATGTTGTAAGTTTTTAGCTGAATTGGACCCTGCCCTTGGTTACTAACCTGCTCGAGTCAGGACTGGACTCGGGTCGGGTAGGTTGGAATTTTGGACCACAGTTTCGGTATACTCGAATATTACCACTGGAGGAATAAGATGATGACCAGACAACCGAAAAAATTATTGGGGTTATAAGGTGCAGCTGACCAAAACAGTTCCACGTGAACACCGTATCCTTTTAATGTGTGTTTATTTCTGTAAAATGATAAATGTCTCATTTTAATGCGCCAATGTGAAATCTTGAACCGTACATGTGTTATGCTCGATTTACTTGATTTATTAGAACTGTTTAGGTGTTTTGGAACCTCATTGAATTGTTTAACTCATTTCACACTTTTGTTTTCTTTAACAGGATTCAAGACTGAGAGTACTCACGAATAGTACTAAGTTGTTTTCTTTTGAAAGGTTTAAGTTGTATTATAGCAGATGACTGTAGTACATATTCTTTTGAGTTGTATTAACCTTGAAGGTTAACTAATTGTGTTTTGGAGTTCTTTCAATGTATATTGAAAATATTTGAAATATTTCTAATTTTGAATTATGAATTGTAGTGAGCCCCGGTGAGAGTTGAACCGCGGATACCCTTGGATTCGCTCTTGAGAGAAGTGAGAGCGTCACATCACAAGTATCGAGTATTTGCTTCAAAAAATTCACTAAGGCTTTTCTACTAAAATTATCAATAAAGGTACCTGCAACCACCATTAGAAGGGACTTTCATAGTGCATAAATCTGAATAAATAATTTCTAATGGTATTCTGACTCTCCATGATTTATCAGTTCAAAAAACATAGGTTGCGTTTGGATTAGCTGTTTTTGGGTTTGTTTTTCAAAAACACCACTGTAGCATTTTGAATCTGAAAAATAAGTTCGTTTGGATTAGTTGTTTTTGGGGTTGTTTTTCAAAAACTATATGAAAAACTTTTACTGTAGATTTTTTTGGGATTATTTTTAGAGGTATTTTTGAAACATATTTTTGAGTATTTTTAAAATATTATAATTTTTATATTTTATATAAATATACATTTATGCATTTATAATACATTTATATTTACAAATGTATAAATGTATATTATTATAAATGTATAAATTATAAACAAATATTATATAAATGTATAAATTATAAATTATATATTTTTATATAAATATGCATTTATGCATTTATAATACATTTATAGATATTTACAAATAAATATATTTATATATTCATATAAAAATATATAAATGTATTATATTATATATAATACATAATATAAATATATTTATAAATGTATAAGTGTATATTATTATAAATGTATAAATTATAAATGAATATTATAAATGTATAAATTAATATATTATAAATATATATTAATATTATGTAGAAATGTATTTATATAATTAATATAAATGTATATATGTATTGATATTATGTATAAATGTAAAATTAATATTATGTATATTAATATAAATGTATAAATGTATTATATTATATATAATACACAATATAAATGTATATTTAAATGTATAAGTGTATATTATTAAAAATGTATAAATTATAAATGAATATTATATAAATGTATAAATTAATATATTATAAATATATATTAATATTATGTAGAAATGTATTAATATAATTAATATAAATGTATACATGTATTAATATTCTGTATAAATGTAAAATTAATATTATGTATATTAATATAAATGTATAAATGTATTATAAATGTATTATATTATATATTATACATAATATAAATTTATATTATAAATATACATAAATATTTATATATTATGTATAAATGTACATTTATATAAATGTATAATATATTATATATAATTTATATAACATATAATATTTATGTAAATATATTATAAATATATAAAAGTATATTATAAATAAAATAAAATATTTATAAAATGTATGTATAAATATATAATATTAGAAATGTATAATATATATAATATACATTATTATTAATATAATTTATGTATAATATACATAATTGAAATATACATATTAATATATAGTAATATATATTATAAAACAAAATTGAATAAATATATTTATAAATTTATATATAAATAAATGTATTTATATAAATATATAATATTTATTTCAATTGATATAATATATATAATATTATACATAATTGAAATAAATATATTTATATTAATATAATATATATATATATATATTTATATAACATACATAATTGAAATATACATATTAAAATATAATTGAAATATACATATTAAAATACATAATTAAAATATACAAATTGAAATATACTTATTAAAATATACAAATTAAATATACATAATTGAAATATATTAGGAGTTGTTTTTGATATATTGTTTGGATATGGTGTTTTTGAAATACACATTTACTGCAGCATTTAGAATGTGAAAAACAGTTTTTCAAAAACAGGTGCAAAAACACTCAATCCAAACGGACCCATAAGCATCCCTGTGTTGCTTTTTCAAAATACACATATCACAGATTCTACCAAAATTTCTAATACTAGGCAGCCAACCAACCATTCTTTTACTGGCCAAAAAACTCAAATTATCAAAATTCAACTGATCAAATCGCATATACCATAACCAATTACTGTCATCTATCATCATACTCAAATAGAAAAAATTGGTAGTACTCAAATTCAATGTAAATAAGGGATTTGAAGTCATTGACACACTAACAATCATTCCAACATTTTTATAAAAAATGGTACAAGTACAATTAGAGATACGAATATTATATTTTTTCTCAAACAACTGTCTCATACTCAACAATTTATGATATAGCCCAAGAACATAGAAAACATCAGAAATAAAATTAGTAAATCCACATCTATCATTAGGCCAATAGAAAATTTTTTTTCTTGCCAAATATTGATAAAATCGTGTTATTTTCAAATTTAATTTCACTCCGGATAGATTCATCAAATTCAATAAATAATTCTTTTTTTTTTCAGACATATGATTACTGCAATCCGTATCCAAATATCACTTTTTTTTTTTATCAACCACATCAATAGAATTACAGGCTAATAATAAAGTCTAAAATTTTTTATTATTATCTTACACTTGATTGTTAGCAATATTAGGCTGAAAATTCCTTTCTACATTTTTTTTTTCAAATCTACATTCAAATTGTCTATGACCCAATTTTTCACAAATATAACATTAAATTCTCTATCAAAAATTATACTGAAAATTATTTTCTCTACCAAAATTACCATTTCTGCCTCTATCAGGACCACCTCTAAAATTAAAATTGTTACCTCTATTATGTTCAGGATTTGATGTACCTCCTTTGTCTCTATTAGTGTTACCACGACTACCTCTGTTATTGTAGTCACCTCTATTATTATACCTTGGGTTTCTCTGACTGGGTTCACCTTGTTCCTTGGCATCGCTGTTGCTTCTCAAATTCAACTGCGTCTGTAGTGCCTTCTCTACTGTATCTTTTTCCGGAGTATCCTCTAACTTTCCAATAATTCTAATACTCAAATGCTCCAAGTCTTTTGTTTCTTGGATAATAGCTATCACATGATCAACTTTTATGGGTGGGGTATTGAGAAATTTCTCCACAAATGTTTTGTCAGGAAAGCCATACTGATTGAGTTTTATCTCATTTTTAATATCTCACAAATGAGAAAAATATGAAAAAAATATGATTCGATAGATTCCGACTTCTCCATCGCCACAAGTTCAAATTTTCTTTTCAATATCATCAAATTATTTTGCCAAACCCTGTCAATCCTTTTGTATGTTTTCTCCAATATATTCTAAACCTCCTTTGCCGTATTAGCCGTAAATTTTTTTTCAAAAAACTAGTATGTCAAATGCGTGATGAATTTGTGACAAACCTAAGTTATCTTTCGTCTTATTATCCTCATTAGCATCCTGAGCAAGTGTAGATTCAATATATCGATGTAATTTACATATCTTAAGATGAGTTATTATCTATTTCTGTCAAAAATAGAATTTTGCCTTTATTTTGAGTTTTTGGACAGAAAAAATAATATTAGGGTTAGGATTTGTCATACTTCAATCTACCGTAGATCTGGTACCACCCTCCTGATGAACCTAAATTGATAATCAATCACAAATCCACAGACAAATATTCAAGGTAAACAATTAAAGAGGCAAAGGGATTTTTCTATTGATCAAGCGGGACTTTGACTACACACAATGAAAAGTACGACCGAAATTACTACTTACAAAAAGTCAAAAACACAAATAGAGATGCATTTGTACTACTTCAGCTCATATATTGCGACTCTCGGCCCTTGCACAGACAAACACATATATATCATGGCCTGACTGCTACTAGTACTGGTACAACTTGAAATTGAACTCTACTCCGCCCCACCATATTAACCAAACAAAATTCCTAGTACTAGAAACCAATTGCACTAGCTTGGTTTAATAATTTCCTACAAGTTTTCTCGAAAACTAGTGGAACGGAAAATGGATTGAAAAGAACAAAAAAAACAAAATCAGAAGTCTTTTCCCGCGAACTTCAACTAACTTCATATGAGAGACCAAATGTCCATTCAATTCCCAAGTATTGAACGGCATTAATAAACCACAAAGACAACAATCCATCTAAAAAACATCAAAAAACTTTCTTGTTGTGGATACAATCTTCTCCCTTCTGTGGATACATTCTTCTTCATCTTCTTTTTGTCTTCATACTTTCTTATGGTTATTTTTTTTGGTCTTCTTTCTTGGTCAAAGGCACAATATCCACTAGCAAATGTATATTATATTTGTAAGCATGCATTAGAAAAGTCAAATTCATCATCTCAAGGACTCATCAGAGACCGACGGCATGTGGAGACTGGAGACTTTAGAGCAGGTATTGCTATAAATTTCAAGATTTTGTTTATGGCATTGGGAAAATATTCTGCTCTATTGGGTTTTTCCGCATAAAGGGGGCTCTTTGATTATTGACGTTAATAGCATATACAGATTCAAAACCTGAGGCAAGTTTATCTTTCATTCAGTTTTGCTTATTTATTTTGTATCTGGAGAAGTTGGTAATGATATGTTGCTGTTATCTGTAGAATCCCAAGTTTGCAATGAGCTGTTATATTGGTTCCTCTACAAACTTGATTTTAACTAGTAAGAACCAAAGGATGAACAATTTTCTCTTGTACTGTGTTCTCAATGTTGTGTCATTTCATTGTAATTTTCTACTTTGCAGATTGTGAATTGGATTTAGGTGTTCTATTCCTTCAATTTAAAAGTACTTGAGCTTTTGTTTTTTAAATTAAAGTCTGGTTGGAATGTTGTGAAATGCGGTAAAGATTCCCTTGTGTAATTTTAAAGAAAAATGTCTTACTTTAGGTATTAAATCTTCATTATATTCAAACTTTGCTGACTTTCTTGATTTCATTATTTTGGGCTTGGGAGAGTTGGGAGGGGGTAGGCAAATTTTTCTTTGAGAAAATATTCTCAACTAGCTTATTTCTTTACAATTCTTGCATTTTCTACTACACAGGTAGGTTTCCCTTTAATTCTGGTTGGTTTTGATTTTCACTCCCAATTCTGCAAATCACATTCGAGAGGTAAGCCTTAGGAGGACTATTTTGTGAGATAAATGCTGCTCCTTGGTTTGGCCTTAATATTTTGGGCTCTGAAAACTGGACACTGTGGGTGTTGGAGAGGCAGCTATGAAGTATTTTGGACTAGTTGGGTTTAGCAACTCAAGAGGGATAACTTTCATTGAGTGGAAGCCATTAAAGAAACTTTAGGCTGAGCTTTGCTTTGATTGATTTGATATGTTCTTGTTGACATCCATAGTCACTGTTCTCAATATATGCTTGATTGATTTCCTGAAGTTTTTTTTGTTTTCTTGATGACAGAACATTTACAGATTATTGAAGCTGATATAGATTGTCAGTCCTGTGAAAAAGGCAAAGGGTCTCCTGGAAATCTCCCTTGTGATTTGGTATGTGTTATTCTTGGCTTTTCTCAGAAACAGAATGGTCTAACAAATTATTTTGCATTAAAGTTGAATGTTTTCCATCTGTGGCTTATATTGAAACTTATCAATGACTCGGGACATTTTATTTACCTTCTTAGCTAAATGAGTCGCATCTAATTTGCATGTGTAGTTGCACACATCTGCACTGAACTTAACTTTTTGGTGGCATCATCGTCATTTTTCTGGCATATTTTTTTTAGATGTTTTTCTTTCTAGTTTTGCAATATTTACATACTTTTGCATCTAGTTTTGCAATATGTAATACATACTTTTGCATCTCTGAAATCTAATTTTACTCTCTTCTTTGTAGTTACTTTATTTTTCTTATCTTTGTGCAATATTTTCTTATCTTTGTGCAGTGACTCCTGACTTATCAATGGAAGAGAAGTATGGAATTGCGAATAACATCACTGAAGTAATTATTTTTCTTGTAAACCTTTGTTATTGATTGGTTATTTTCTGAAGGCAGATAAGAAAGCATGATTGTTGTTTGCTATATTTACTGTTTACAGCTCATAGGGAATACCCCAATGGTATATCTCAAGAATGTTGTGGATGGTTGTGCTGCACGTATTGCTGCCAAATTGGAGACTATGAATCCATGCTCAAGTGTAAAAGACAGGTAAAAATGTTCCACTTATAACTGGTTCTTCTTCTGAAAAATTTTTCTCACTGTATTGTCCCAGTGGTTCCACGTCTTGTTTCCTGCATGCTGAGTATAGATGTCAATAGACCAAGTGAACATGTTGTATCTCTCCTTACCTAAATGTAGGATCGCATACAGTATGATAAAAGATGCAGAAGAGAAGGGTCTAATTACCCCTGGCAAGGTTAGTTAAGTTTTTCCATCTCTCTTCTTTTAACTTCACATTTTACTTCTTGAAGACCATGAGTATAAATTTGCACTTGTATCCATCTTTATGCTCTTCCACCAAAATTATATACTTTGTATGGTGGATCTTTAAAAGATGAAACAATTACTGTGGAAACTTTTTGTTTGTATTGTGTTACTGATGACAAAAAATTGGTCCTCTTTTCAAGAAAAACTACAAAGGTTATGGGCCCCATTTGTGGTCGTTCAACTTCACTAAAATTTTGTACTAACGATGTACTCTTGGTTTTGGATATGGACATTTGGTGGCTGAAGACGGTCCTTCTCGAGGTGACCAGCGGTAATACTGGCATTGGTCTTGCATTCATTGCAGCAACTAGGGGCTACAAACTTATCATAGTTATGCCACACACGTATAGTCTCGAAAGAAGGATTATCCTCCGTGCTTTTGGAGCTGAGTTATACATCACCGATGCAGCAATAGGTATTGATGGAATTCTCAAGAAAGCCGAGGAAATAATGGAGGCAACACCAAATTGTTTTTTTCTCAAGCAATTTGAGAACCCTGCTAATCCAAAGGTACATTACATCCAGATAAAGTGAATACAGATGATCGCAATATGCCACTTAGCATTTCTCAATGTGTAGATACACTACGAAACCACTGGACCAGAGATATGGAAAAACACTGAAGGGAAAGTTGACGCACTGGTTGCAGGAATTGGAACTGGGGGTACAGTTACTGGTGCCGGAAAGTTTCTTAAGGAGAAGAATGCGGACATCAAAGTCAGATTCTTCTTCTTATTATTCTGATGCCTCTTTTGTCTATTTAATTATTCATTGTCGTTATTGTCTTGAGTAAACTATTGTTGACAGGTATACGGAATTGAACCTGCTGAAAGTGCAATACTGAGTGGAGAAAAACCAGGTGATTATAATCTAGATCTAGCTTTTCTCATCTTTTATGGTCTTTATTATGTTCAAGATTGTTTGCTCTTAGGCTTGTTTTACTGTTAGGTTAGGTGCATAATACACTCGAATAAATGACTTGGTGATAACATGTCCTTGTCGATCAAATCCTCTCTACTAGATCACATTTCTCATGTGAAATGTCTCATTTTGCATCTAGTTCATAACTTTTTGATTATCCTAAGGCTGCTTGACAAATATTAGTTATCTCAAATTAGTGTCTTGAATGTGTTTTAGAGTCCATGACTTGGATTTGAAAACTCATAAGCCCTTATGAAGTTCTCATCTCTTAAACTCAATTACAAGTATAGTTGCAGACTATATATGGAAGTCGATAGTTCCCTTAAATTGAATTTTCCTTAGGAGAATTGGAAAAAAATAGGCTGGAGTTTTCATATTTTTTGAGTCATGTAAAATGAGAAATTTAATCTTAGTTCTTGAGCCACTTAATAGGAACAAGTTAATTTCATGATTGAACATATACGTTTTTCATTCAAAGTTGCTCAGCACTGAGAAAAACCTTTAATGATACCATATTTCATATACAGCGAGTTTTGAATTGTTTTCTACTGTCATTTTTGTTGTTCTAGAAGTAGGATTCAGAAACATTTTGATTTTTCTGCTATTCTGGCTTTATTTTCAATTAGATCTGGTTAAAAGCATATATTGATTTGATGGCTATGGCCTCGAGCTGTTCAAGCATACGAGTGTATGTCTCTCATATTTAACTAAACTTTTGACTGGTAATGATCATGGCACCCAGAACACAGAATAGATAAAGGGAGGGCAACCTTAACTTTGTGCTGCATCTTTTTCTCACACACCTGATTGATCTTGGATCTAACTTGGAACAGTTTTTTTTCTTAATGTCCTGTTACTTGATCCTCGATAAAGAGTTGGTTTAATATGCATAAAATCATTAATGGATGTCTAGAGTACTAATAAAGGCTACTCAAGCACCTAGTGAAAAGCTTTTTGTTTCACTATCTCTTCTTCCTATGATATGTGCCTGTTGATCTTCCTACATTTCAGTCATCACTTCTTCAAGTGCTTCCTTTTGTTGTGTTGTAATCACACAATATAAGTGTTCTGTTTTGATGAATTGATGTTTACCTTTTTTATTGGTAATGCTGCTTTATCCTACTTTTCATTCTTTTTGGTTCTGACTTCTGATAATATTGTAAATAACAATTGTTGATTTGCAATGAGTCTAATGAAGCTCTTATCCTATTTTTGAGATAACTCATGTTTTCCAGTTACAAATTTTTTGTATTGATCTGAAAGGTCCTCATAAAATTCAAGGAATTGGTGCTGGCTTCATCCCTCCAGTTTTAGACATCAATATACTTGATGAAGTTATTCAAGTAAGTAATTTGTATCTTTTTGTATCTCATGTTCATGAAAGAAAATTATGCATGAAAGTGAAATAGAATCAAGTATGAAATTTTATTTACTATATCCTTTCATCCATTTGTATTTTTGTCACAAAAGCACATTATACTTGCACTTTAGGAAGAAAAAGTAATGTGCATAAAACAGTCTAATGAAGATGGATAATAAAGAGAAGACTTCCTTATCCAGATCTTGCTTTTTTATTCTAATGTATATCCTTGGTTCTGACCGTCATGATGACATTGTCTACTAGATTGAACAAGTAGCATCGCTGCTAAGTGTATAAAGATCTAGAATTCCTCCTTGATTGATTAAGCTGCTATGTCTACTAATACATCTAACCTAGGATTATTTCCTTGATACATAATAACAATGAGACACCAGAAGAAACTTTGTATGTTAATATCTTGCACAGGTCATTGTATTTATATATTTATGGGCACTCTATTCTTTTCATACCTTCTTGGATGTTCAACCTGGATTTAATGGTGGACTCTTCTATGTTAAGAAATTAATTCTGTATTATGAAAGTTAAATAGAATACTCGGCATCTGGTGTGTTGTAGATAATGGTGTGGACAAATTTTTTTTTTTATTTGTATCAAAATTGCACTAAATCGTCATAAATAGAACCATATTTTTAATGGAAGATAAAGTGCCAAGAGATGGTTAATCCACATTCTTTTCTTTTTCCATATTTTAATGAGAGCAGAGTGTGGAAAATGCTTTAGAAGTCATTATAAGTCTTTTCGTACAAATTCTCCTTGTTCACTATTTTTTGATCTTTTAGGCTCATTAAATCGTTGTTTAGCAGAAATTAGAGTTTTTTCAAATTGATTCTTGATATTTTATGCACTAATGTAGTAAAATTTGGATGTTCTAGTGCTATATATGGAAAACAAGAATAAAATATCTGAAGAATGTGCTTAAAGAAAGCTTTTGAGGCATGTCTATAACGCATTGGCCTCAAGTATGTACTATTCTGTGTAGTTAATCTGCTCAAATGATTCTCCTTACAGTTTACCTTGTTTTGGAGTCCAACAAATGCATTTTTAAGTATTTATTTTGGACTCATGAAACTGGTTGAATGACCGTGCTATCTAGAATGGCTTTGAGGAGTCATAACTTTGATCAAGTTCCTGGTTCATCTAGAATGAGTGTGGAAATCCCCCAATATCTGCTATCTTTTGTATATTGAAAAAGTTAGATTAGATAGTTAGTTCCTTTTTGAGTTCAACATTTACCTACATTCGGCCCTTCTGACAAGATTCCTTGTCAGCTTTTGCTTTAAACTTTTGGTGCCATAGAATGAGAACATATGCTCAAATTCTGTTTGCTTTTCTGGTTTTTCTTTTACTATTTACATATATTGGCCCCTTGAAGGATCTTACATCAGTTCATCAAGTCTTGCTTATTTTTATCATGTATAATCTGGTTATGTAACAGTTGATGTTCTCCAACAGCATTTATTCTCACTTGGTAGCACATGCTATAACAGGACAAAAAGTCTAGAACCGACATAAAAGTAGACATCTTATATTGGACTAGTACAGAGCATTTTGGCCCTCTAAATATTTTTCCTCAAGTTCTAGCAAAGCTTCTCTTTTTCATTGTAGAAGTTTTGCTTCGAGGAATGACATCATCTCTTTTGATTATTTCAGTACATTGGTTCTAAATCTATCTTGTTGATACTTTTCTTGAAAAGTATTTACTTAAGTCATTATCTGTTGAAAGACCGTCTTTGTTTTCAAAAGCTTAAAAATGCATTGGTGTGTCAAGTAAAATGTAGTCTAGGAAATATGTTTGCTGGGTGCATATGCTGGGATATTTTAGAGGCACATAAACATTTTCATTCCAATTTCCATTTAATGATTTCCTGCAACATAATTTTCTATTTGATGTCATATTTTGCTTCTTCTTTTCTCTTGGCCCCTTTTAGATATCAAGTGATGAAGCTATTGAAACGACAAAACTTCTTGCACTCAAGGAAGGTTTGCTAGTAAGTTGAAAGTTTCGAAGGCATCTCTAACCCTTTCTTCTCTGGCCAACCACTACGGACATGTTTTTGCTTCAATATATATCACGTTGACTCTCGGGTTTGTAGGTGGGCATTTCTTCAGGTGCTGCTGCAGCTGCTGCGATAAAGTTAGGAAGAAGGCCTGAATATGCTGGAAAACTCATAGTAGTAAGTTGAACTTTTTCTTAGCTGATGCAGATGTTGCAGTTAATTTTTAACTGCTCAACTTCTTGAAAAGCTTTCCAATTCAGCATATCAGTTATTACCCTGGTCATTCTATTGACTACTTGAACACCCTTATGTCAAAAAAATTAAGTTTCTAGTTTTCCTTGTTCTCCTGTAGACCAATCCATTATACTAAGGATACTTCATTTCGTTTTCCTAACGACTGCTCATGTCTAAGATACTTAATTGTGATTCAAGCTGGAATTTTCACTTTAGGTAAATCTGCAACAATATTCTGGATTTTTTTTTCCTTATTTTTTATCCTTTATTATTTTTTTGGGGCGATAGGGTGAAAACTGTGGACAAGCTACAGATCTCTTATTTCATTGACATGTTTTTTGAAATGTGATATCACCTATCAGTTCAGGATTAGGTTATGTCTTTGTTATTATAGGGTTGCGCCCATCCACTTATTTCTCTTGCTTTGAAGATTTTATTTTTCTGTGCTTCCTATTGCTAAAGCAGACAGGATATGTCAAATATAAAAAGGCAAGTGAAGAACAGCAGATTTACAGCCAAGGCCTAAACAGATATATGACGTTTTGGCTTTGGGGATAAACTTGAGCATGTATGGATTTCCAATGTCATCTGTCAACCCCAAACCCCCTATTAGACCCTATTCTCTCTGATACCTGCAAATGCTCCAAGCTATATCCATAAAAGAGTTGCAAATATATCAGTCCATTTATTTCTGTTTCAAATCCAGGTATGACAAAGAACACAAGATCCTTTAAGTCAGACCGAAGTGAGCGTTAGCAATCAAAGCGATGATCAGAAATTGAGAAAAAAATTCCAAATAAAAAGACCAACAAGTTTTCCCTTTGGCTTGTATTCTGTTGCCCCTTAAAGGCTTTCACCTTATGCTGGAAATTATAATCCACTTTAAGTTTACTAAAGTGTATCCCACATTGACATGTAAACTGCAGATACAATCTATTTCAGGCATTACTTGGGTTGCGGTCCTTGACATTTTAGATTAGTCTTGGCAGCCTATCATAATAGTAGGCATTTTCTTGTTCTATACAGATGAATCTGACTTCCATCAGTTCCCCTTTTAATGCCATCTGTTTGTTCTTTCTTTTTAGGTAATCTTTCCCAGTGCTGGGGAGCGTTATATCTCTACAGTCCTGTTTGACTCGTTGCGGATAGAAGCAGCAAACCTGAATTTCAACTAAGTGCTCCACACTCGCACCTGCATTTTCAGAAACAGTTCACAGGACTTTTGAGTGATATATCTTTTTATTTACCTTTTTTGAAGCTCAGCCACAACTGTAGCTGTTGAGTACTTCTTTGATTAGTGGAAAGTGGCCTCTCCATACATGATATAGACACAGTTCCTCTTGTTGCAGAATTCTCTTCCACCTAGTTTGTCCTTTGTCATCATACTTTTGTGTTGTATCCTGAAGTTTTCCCTGAAGCCCTGGTCAACACCACTTTTGTTGAACATGTTAAATGACTTGCAAGCATCTTGATTACTAATATTACTTGCTACTTGGTTATACAGTTTGAGTCCTCTACAAATTTGACTGGAGATCGACACTTTCTCGCTCATATACTGCTTGTTATGACATGATAATGACATTACCAGATATGGAAAGGATTATGTTGAAATGCTGGCTTTTTGTTCAAGTATATTCAAGGGGAATGGGGAATTTGTGTTGCCAATACAACTACAACGAGGCTTGAGGCTTGATTGTGGAATATTTGGCAGATACATGGGAGGAAAGGTGGTTCTAACACTTAAGCAACCCTTGCTCTCAAGCTCAAGAGGTCTTATTGTGGATGGAACTTGCATCCTTAATTGGTTTGATAATTTTGGACACATTCACATAACGCAGCCTGTTTAGGGTTTGAAAATTCAAGCCCTTTTTATCTTTATCCTCAATCAAAAGAATGGGAATGACGAATGGGCATGCGAAAAATCGAATTCTTATTTTAAAGACGAGAAAGAAAGAACTTTAATAATTATACCAAATTCAATTCTCGATTTGCGATCGTATGATGCATGTATCGATTATGCCAAAATATCAGGTATCCTTTTTTTTTTCCAGCAGGATAAGAAATTATCCTATTCATTGCAAATTAGTTATTCACCGTTCTTACATGTCAACCCTCTTTTATGCCCCTTCTAAGTTCTGACTGAAGGACAGGCTGCCACCAAACCAGGAATATTTGGACGCTGTGGGGAGGGGGCAAAATTGACGTGGACGAGAATAATTGTTATGCTAATATGAGGGTCTTTTTCATAAATACGTAAAAGAGTAAGACCAAAAGTTGAAATATCAAAAATTGTCTTCCCCTGCAAGAGCTTCCGACTTCTAAATTCTCTGACATAAAACAATTGCACCGGAGATCTTAAAAACGGTGTCGTTTTATAGTTGCACTTCCTGGATTTCAGTGCACATACGTATATATATACAAACAATAACGCAGACAATCTGAGTTTTTTACAGGGAGAGGGGAGAGAGAGAGAGAAATGGCTGCTTTCATGGCGGTTCTGGAGGCAGATCTGCGAGCTCTCTCCGCTGAATCTCGCCGCCGTTACCCCGCCGTCAAAGACGCTGCTGAACATGCTATTCTTAAGGTCCGATCCAATTTGCAATTTTTTTCCTATCATTTTGATTTATACTGAATGCAATAAGTTAGTAGTACTTTTCTATATTGGAAGAGTGAATGTGGAAATTGCAGCTAAGATCATTGTCGAGTCCGAGTGAAATTGCGCATAATGAGGATATTCTGCGGATATTTTTGATGGCTTGTGAAGTTAGAAATGTGAAGTTGAGTGTGATTGGGCTGTCTTGTTTGCAAAAACTCATATCTCATGATGCAGTTGCTCCATCAGCACTTAAGGAGATTCTCGCTACATTAAAAGATGTAAGTTTTTGTACTAGATGCTCAACGATGTCATTGCAAATAATTTGTTTTGTTTTCTGCTCATTACAACTGCAATTTGAGTGGGAAAGTTCCGTATTCCGCTCCTGTTATTGGACCTTCTATGTTTAATTTCTTGTAGTGTAGGCTTGAAGAAAGTATTGAAGATTAGCAATGGTGAGGTTTAATAAGTCAAATGAGAAGAACCAAGCAGTTCTTTACCACGCTTGAATAACGCATTCCAGATATGCCGTGTTTGGTTTTCTATAAGAACTGGACTTAGAATTGAATCATATGAGCTTAATATGGATAGGACGCTATTCCAATGCCAATAAAATTTGAAGTCTGATATAGAACCAAATGTAGAACATATCAAAACTGTTCTTTGTCCTTAGTAGTTGTTAAATGTTATCCTGGACTGTACTATTGAGTGCCTATCGAATCTGTTGATGTAGGGGAAGGAGGGAAATAGTATAATTATAAGAGATCGTGTGCTTGAGACAGAGGAAGACATAAGGTTGAGCAAGTGGGATTAAGGTCCCTTCTTCGGAGCAATCAAATAAGAAAATTGAAATGTTAGAGCATTAGTGCATATGCACTGTAGCTTTAGGCATTGACTTCTATACTGATGTGGTAATCAGCTATAATCAAATTTAATCACATGGGAGCAAAGAGTTAAATGTGGTGTAGTGTTTCGTGACATCTCCATTCTAAATGACCTTAATTGGTTTCTGGTTTGAGTAGTTTAGATAGTCTTCAGCGTCAAACCTTCTGCCATGTATTTCAGGATGAATGCATTACCCAGCAGCAAGCCGCCATTTTTATGTTTTCTAATATCCATTGTTGCAGAAAGTTTAGAGAGCCGGACAAAGTATTTAATGAGGACTAGAAGTAATGTTGCAAAGGTATATAATAGATTTTTGGATACTTTTTACCCTCTTTTGTGGCTAATTTGGATTTGCCATTTGCAAGTAGTATTGATTTGATTTTGCAAGTACAAAAGTGTACATAACCTATAGGTAGAAGAAGCTCAGAGGAGGTTATCAAACTTTTAAATTTGGTCAAGATTGCTGGTTGCCTCTGCTTTCAAAGCAGTACACCTGAACTTTCCTTTTTTTTTTTTTAATTGGTTTAAACTGGTATGGTTAATGGTATAGCACCTCATTCTTCTTTCATACTGTGACTGGTTTGTAAAGGAAGGCTTATGACACACGCTGCAGCTGAGAGCTTGAAAATTTTTTTTGTCCATTTTCAGCATCTCGCAGCAAGTAATGGCACTTAATGCACTATGTAGGGTATCCTATCTGTGGTCCAAGGAATTGCCTTGGCCTGACATACATTTTCAACAAAATCCTTTGCTGGGCATGTAGGCACATTGACCCTGGCAGCAAGTATATGCTATGTTTGGAGGGGTCAAATCAGAGGACTTTTCCTTATGAAAACTGGCATTTCAGACCTAGTATATTGTGAATTCAATTGTTGGAGGGGGTTTTTGTATGTAGTGATACCATCTGTTTGATTCTGCTTGATTTTCTAACTGAAGTAGAGTCTGTATGAAATAATTTGGTTGTAGAAGCTTACCCAGATAAAACAGTTATTTCCACCTAGAAGTGAATTTGTAGGTAGCAAAAATTTTGATGCTTCTTTAAAAGGATGCCTTTTACTCATTGCCCCTCCTTGCCAATCTTAGTAGGAAGATAACAATAAGAAAAAGGAGAATCAGAAAAATTATGTACATGGGTTTAGGAGCAATTTTAAATGATGTCTTGGCAGGTTGTGAAAATGGGTTAACATCCAAGGCAGTACTCACAATTATTAGACTGTTTGAAATGTATACATGTTGAGAGCCAATGTTCAGTTTCAGAAACACATTGTACCACATATCTGTTGGTTAGTTTCCTAGAGGCATGGAAATGGTGCTAATCCTGTCTATGTCAAAAATTGAAACTTGAAATTTAAACCCAAAAAAAAAAAAAAGCAACAGCAATTTATGGGAGTTGTGGACCAAGAGTTTTTAGAGTTGCTTGCAATGATGATCTTGTAGAGCTTCTGGAAGGAAAAACCTTAATTGAGCTAAAGGTTAATGAAAAAAGTTGATGTTTAAGTTTGAAAAGAAAATTTTAGAATGCTATGACACTTACATGTTATAATAGGTCAACGGAGAAAGAACTGTTTAGAAAAAGTAAAACAATTCTCTGCTGCTCAACATTTGGTAGGTTTTGTTGATGTACATTTGCTTTTCTCTGATGTTTGATCATAGGAAGCTTTATCAAAGTCTTAAAATGCTTAATAAGGAATGTGAGAGGTTGGCTGGGGGTTGGCCTGGGATTGGGACCCTGCTGATACACTTAGAATTCGTAGGAACTTTGTCATTCTGTCTTCATTTATTTGCCAGTTGCAAATATTCTTTTACATTGTCAAGGAAATGGATCAATATGCTGAACGTTCTACTAATGGCAGAAAGGACTTTTTTTAATACTGAAAATGAGATAAAAAGTGCAGGAGTTTAGGCATGTCTGACAACTATGATGCATTTTTCTGGTACTTTATGGCCCATTTTCATGCTAAGAAGTGTTTTTTTGTTAGTTTTCCTCTACTGTCACTTATATTTCCTCTTCCTTAAAAGAAAAATTGACTACAGGTTGTTGTTTCAATTTTTTCAGTGTTTAGATTTTTAACTCTTGATCCTTTTTTTTCTTTTTTTCTTTGTGTTCTTTTCCCTCATTTGCATGCAGCATGGTGAAATGGCAGATGACAGCATCCAACTAAAGACCCTGCAAACCATCCTCATAATATTTCAGTCTCGTTTGCAACCTGATATTGAGGTTATTGTCGACAACTCTACTCTTTTCATGTCTTATTTGAAGCTCTATTTGTGTTTAGCAGCAGTATATGTGTTCAATTGCATAAGAAAGGTATTGAGGAGATCATTGTGCTCCTTGATGTAGTGGAAGTGCTTCTCATTCCCTCATCCTACAATGTGTTTTGGGATTGTGTCGGTTGCTGACGCTTCAGTTGCCAGAGTCCTGAGAACCATGCGAGCATAGACTTTCTGACCATCATTTTTATTTACTTCAACAGCCTATTGCTATACTGTGTTACAATGCGTAATTGGCTAATAAACCACTAACCAGGCTGACTATAAGGAGCTCGTCAATTGTGGTTTTCTTTGTGTCTTATTAATACAAATTTGGAAGTGGATTTCGTAATGCAGCTTGACAGTATCTAAGATGGAAGTCTCCTGAAATTTTCACAGTTGTTTTTGATTATGATGATATTGTCTTTTCACCTAATTCTATTCTCTGCGCCAGTAATATTGTTGATGTCATATCTCAGTATATTGCCAAATTAGAGTCATTGAGGAGCCACAGATGTAGTTCATAAAACAATTTTCCTTTAACTATTGTTACACATTTTTGGAAAGTCCTCCTGTGGATGTGAGTTCTTAATACTTCAGTCAATAATGCAAAATTGACAATTTAGACTGTGTTTATCTAAGTGTTGCTTGGGCCCGGACTTTTTGCATCTCCTTCTCCTTTTCTTCGTTGTCTTGCACCCTTTCTTCTTTTCAGCACTCTCAAGTCTCAATATGTAATAACATAATGGCCGTTTAGCCCAGTCCCGAAAGGCCT